AACACATAAGGTATGCACCAAATTCTGAAATCCACTCATATTTAGAGCATCACTCTATCTTGAGCATTCTTCCTTTGAAATCAAACTTACCGTATAAGCTCTTTATAAACTCTTTGGTAATCGTCTCATCTCAAAACAATGTACTTACAAACAAATATTTGTTTACCCGTGCAAACCCAATCATTCCACTGTGATAATCATCTATTATCAAAACGTACACATCCCAACATAGTCTAATAAAACCATATGTGTACACATCACAAAAATCCTATCACAAAACATAATAAAGATAGCCAACACTGCTAGTTCACTTTATTAAGAATTTTTCCAAACCATAACTGTCAAACGAATAATCGTAAGATATTATTTAACATACTATCAGTGTACGAGTTTAAATCTGTACTACACTTTTATTAAAATCCCCACTACTACTAGTAATTAAAATTACTTTTAAAAGAGCCATCCTCCTTGTGGTTTGGTACCCTCCTACTGGGACGGCCCAATTTCACCTCGTCTAGGACACTGCCTGGAAGTGTGACCATACCCTCCACAAATATAGCAAGTACCCCTAAAAGTACCAAACGGCCTCTTTTGCTAGTTAAACTGTGGCTGATCTCATCCGGCCTGTGACCTCCCATTCTGCTGTCCTTGAGCTAACCCAGGACATTGATTGGATGTATGCCCATCCTCTCCGCAGCCAAAACAATGAACTTTAACCACATTCTGCACCTCTGGTATTGCTTCGAGTGTTTGTTGAACATGTAGCTGACTCTGAAGTGTCGTTGCTACGCCTGTAGCTACAGCCTGAACAATGATGTAAACTAACTGAGGAGAATATTCTGGATCCCTGCCCTGATTGTAGGCCTGATGTTGAGACTCCTGAGTATGCCCAACTTCCTCATGCTCTATCTGCAACTGACCATCTTCCTCCTGAAACCTAGGCACTTGCTGCTCTCCCCCCATTTGCCGAAGCCACAAGCGTTCTTGTTGCCTATGTGCCAGTCTCCTCTGTCGACCGTTTATGTTTTTTCCTCTTCCAGCATTAACCATACTGTTAAAATAGAATGACAGACATAAGTATGATTATAAACAGACCGTAAAGGAATTCAACGAATCCTAATCTTAAAGCTCTAAACAAGAGAGAACGCTACGCAGAAGTCTTATACGATAGAATCCTAGAGACATTTGAACCTGGAGTGCTCTGATACCAACTGTGATACCCCTCGGATCCGAGAAGCGGGTTGATCAAGCCCATGCCCAAACCCGAGGGAATATCAAACAATCAATTTGTTAAAACAAACACGGAATATAAAAATGATTTAAGAAATAAACATTATAAGCTGAAAGAAACTAAAATAAAAATCCTCAAATCATAATTATTAAAATTCGATAATCCAAACTCTATAAGTTTAACAACTCGGGAATCCATCCAGTGGACCCCTTATTAAAATCTCAACTGAAATTAATCTAATACTAAACATATAAAAGATTCCTACGTAGTCGGAGGAATGAGTGTCTGTATTTGCTCTGAACGTCCAAGCTCTAACTCTAGAACTGACGAACACCTGAAAATAAAGAGTGGGTCAGGTCCACATGCAAGTCCTGATCTACTACAATCCAAACAGGAATCCGATACGCAGATACATCCTAGAAAGACTCAACAATATCTTGACTAGTCCATATATGTATATATAGTACACACTATAGGACGCTCGCTAGTCCAATAGGTATGTCTCAGCCTGAGTAGAGATACCATGCAAATCGCACGTAATGTGGTCATGTGTATCTGGACCTACCAGGGAACAAAACCCACTGTCCAGTTATTCATCCTAGGTGATATACGCACCCTAACTATGGTCCTGAGACTCAAGCTCATACTATGGCACCATAACATAAATATATAAAATCCGTTCAAAGTGTGTCATTCAAATGGTTTATTGACCTGACACATAGTTATAAGCAGGACTTAACTTTTGGTAGTTAATCCATCTTATTTCAGAATAGGTAGGACTTAGTGTTTGAACTAATCCATCCCTAATATAGGTAGGTCTTAGTGTTTTTACTAAGCCGTCCTCAACATGTCACCGTCCCATACCGGTGCATACAATCCTCCAGCCAACATAGTTAACAAAACAGTAATACATACTAGTTAACCATATTCCAGATTTAGCATAAATATAGTCCAACATGTATATGGCCAATTAATACATTCAGTAAGATTTAGAAATCACATTCCAGTTGTTTATATAAGTGAAATAAGGCTGCACATTTATTTCCTCCAAACAATGCCATAATTGATGCAATAATCAAAAGAAGTCACCATCAATTAATTTCAACTAAACATGCTTAGGTTTCTAGATAAATAACTATATACTTGTAACACAGCTGAGACATGATTGATAATTTTAAATCATGCAGAAGAAACCAAATTTGCTCAAAGTAGTAAGCAGTTTTAAGATTAATTAACCAACCTTTCATATACAGTTCCATTGTTTAATCCTTAAGTTGTTTCCTGTTTCAACACAATAACATTGACATGCTTCCAAACAGTTTCTACATCTCTAAAACAGTTATACAAATCACCCACACCCATTGAAACAACCCAGAAACCTTTCTACAGACCAAACTGGACCCAAAACCACGGAAAAACCCAAGAAAAGAGGTTGGAGCCGCCTCCAAAAAATTTGAGCCGGCTCCCCCCTTAGTGGAGCCGCCTCCACTTCATGTGGAGCCAGCTCTACCCCTTGTAGAGCCGGCTCCTCAAGCCCTAGAGCCGGCTCCTTCTTTTGGTGAGCCGGCTCTCTTCCTTTGAGAGCCGTCGTCCGTTTCTGTTTGTCGTCTCCAACTCCGGTGACTAACAGAGCCTCTGTAATGTGTTTTAATTCTCCTTCTAGGTTCAATCTTAGTCCTAGATAAATTTAAACGACTAAGATCCAATCCTAACATGCATAGAAACACAAGTTTTAAAACCATGATTACAGAACCACCGTTAGAAATCTTTTAAGCAAATCACAACAGACTTAATGCAGATTACTTTAGTACAATTAAAGACTGTTCTAAGCACTTGTTCTAGAGTTCAAACTCAATTCCAGATTAAGTACAAGGCATGCAAACATATTACTAATCTCAATTCAAGCAACGTTTAATCGTAGACCACATAAGGAACAAATAACAGAAAAATCAACAATCATGCAAAACTGTTAATTTACGAGATTAAACAAAATTCTTATATGCATAAAACATGTTATTATGTTTGTTTACATCCATTTTAACCTTTATTAAATCCCTGGAGTCTAACTAGGCATGCACAGAACACGAATTAAAAAGAAAGAGAAGAATAGTGACTTGTCTTGAGTTTCGATTTTGAAACTCTAAACCACCATCTTTGAAACTTCTGTCCACGTCTGAGACTCCTGTTTTACACCTCAGGTGCTCTTGGTTTAACCCAAAAGCACTCTATCCAGAAATCCTTGGACCTCTCTTTGTATCCTAAGGTTCACGCTTTGTTTCTCTCTATCTCTCAATAGGGTTTGTTCGTAACCCTATACCAACGTATATTGTTGCATATATATAGACTTTTAAAACCAAAACCCTAATCTTTAAAATATTACAAGTATGAATTAATAAAACCTATAAACAGAGTTGGCTGCAACTAAAACAATATAGAACCCTAATTTACAATAAACGCATTTAAAGAATATTAAACTAAAAAATAATTCAATTAAAGCAATAATAATAAAAAGAAAAACAATTAATTCAAGTAATTCAAATAATCACAATTAATTCAAAAAAATTCAAATTAAATCAAATAATTCAATCATTAATGAAAATACACCATTAAACAATTTAAAAATGCAATAAAAACAATTAATAAAATACAAGAATTATCCTTTTGAATTTAAGGGTATTACAATAAGCTAAGAAAGTTGTCCTCGGTGAACACTATTGCCTCGGGCAATATCAGTATTGGGTTCGACGATGCAGATTTATCTAGTGTTCAACTCCCCCACGAGGATCCACTAGTCATCAACCTTCTGGTGGCTAACTGCATGATCAAAAGGGTTCTGATAGACCCGGGTAGTAGCGCCAATATTATCACAAAGGCGATCTTTAAGCAGCTGGAGATACCGTCATCATCAATTCGGCCCACTTCCAATCCCTTGATTGGCTTTGATGGCACGAAGGTAGACCCCCTTGGGGTGATTGATTTATCCGTCACTGCGGCAAAAAGGACATTGAAGGAGAACTTTGTTCTAACAGAGGTCCATCCTTCTTATAATCTCATTATGGGAAGAGGTTGGATCCACCGAATAAATGGGGTCCCGTCTACCCTTCATCAAGTGATGCGATGCTTGTCTCCGGATGGTAAGGAGGTTATTAATCTTTGAGGAGATCAAGTCGCTGCCAAAGAATGCTATATGTTGACATAGAATTAGGCGAAGAAGATAGTTAAGCAGTCTTAACCAGTTGTGACTCTTAGAAGTATGTCCAAATAGCAATTACAGAGCCTTCTTCCTAAGTATTTGAAAGCGGAGGATGAAGCTGAAGTTACAAAGCCTACCAAGGAATCTCTCGAGGCTATTGAAGTAATCATCGGTGATCCCCAGAAAGTCACCTACATAGGCTCTTCCCCCACAGCCGAAGAAAAGGAAGCGTTAATTGATGTCATTCGACGAAATGTAGATGCATTTGTTTGGGATCATTCAGATATGGTAGGTATCAATCCTTCAGTCTCATGCCATAGCCTGAAGATGGATCCGGTGTTTAAGCCAGTCAAGCAAAGACACAGAAGGTTCACTCCTGAGCGCAATCGAATTATTGCTGAAGAAGTAAATAAGTTGCTTTAGGCAGGCTTCATCCAAGAATTGCATTATATATAATGGCTCTCTAATGTCGTAGTGATTCAGAAGAAGAATGGAAAATGAATGGTGTGCATTGATTTTACCAATCTCAACAAAGCTTGCCCCAAAGATAGCTTTCCACTACCCAAAATAGATCAGATGGTTGACACTATCACTGGTTTTGAGAGACTCACATTCCTCGATGCGTACTCCAGCTATAACCAAATCCCTATGCATCCAGAAGATAAAGAGAAAACTACCTTCATAACAGAGAAAGGCACCTACTGTTACAGAGTCATGCCCTTCGGACTTAAGAATACTAGGGCAACTTACCAACGCCTTATTAACAAGATCTTCGACGAGATGTTGGGGAAGACGGTCGAGGCCTATATCAATGACATAGTGGTTAAAAGTAAAAAGAAAGAGGAACATCCCAAGCACCTCCAAGAAGTCTTTGACACTTTGAGAAAGTATAATATGAAGCTGAACCCTTCGAAGTGCTCCTTTGCAGTTTCTTCAGGGCAGTTCCTCGACCATATTATCAACAAAAGGGGAATCGAGGTAACTCCGACTCAGGCTCAGGCCCTAATATAAAATTAAGAACCAAAAACTCGCAGGGAAGTACAGGTTCTAACTAGCCGAATCGCAACAGCTGCTTCATCTCCCGGTTGTCGGATAAATACAAACTGTTCTTCGATGCAATAAGATCCAAGAACAAGGACATATGGGGACCCAACAACAAGTTACTCTTAATCAGTTGAAGTGTATGTTACATGGTTAAACCTCCAATTCTGTCTGCTCTAAAGCCCGATGAGACTCTCATAATATATTTAGCAATCTCCAGCATAGCCACAAATGTTGTACTGATCAGAGAAGAAGGAAATAATCAGTATCCAGTCTTCTACACGAGTGAGACAATGACAGATGCTGAAACACAGTACAGTAAAGCAAAGAAGATCATACTAGCATTGGTGTACGCAAAGAGAAAGGTTCGACACTATTTTGAGTCACATAGCATCATAGTTCAAACCAACTATCCCATGCAGGTTATTCTTCCCAAGCCAGACTTGTTTGGAAGAATAACTAAGTGGGCAATCGAACTCAGTTCGTTCGATATATCTTATAAGCCAAAGGTGTCACACAAAGGACAGGCATTGGTTGACTTCCTCCTTGAGTATAAAGATAAGCCCAAAGAGCCAGACCCTCCTGAACCACAATGGGAGCTTTAGGTGGACGGTTCCTCGAACCTAACTAGTGCTGGGGCCAGAGTCGTTATCACAACCCCTGGAGGCACCAAGCTGCAGCAATCAATCTATCTGACTTTTCCTGTTACTAACAACGAAGCCGAGTACGAGGCCTTGCTCGCCGGGCTTCGGTTGGCAAATCAGCTCCAGGTAAGGTGTCTAAAGGTTTTTAATGACTCCCAACTTATTGTGAATTAGGTGACAGGCAAATATCAACCCAAAGAAGAAAGAATGAAAGCATACAATGAGGCTGTGGAAGGTGCTATATGAGGATTCGATCAAATCAAATTCCACCAAGTACCTCGTGATGAGAATTCTGAAGCAGATCAGTTGGCTACCGCAGCGTCTTCTTCAGACGACGATTTGGTTCGGGTAGTACCAATTAACATCTTGGATGAACCTAGCATAAGCCCTTTGCAGGAAATAATGGTGATCCTAGAGATTCCACGAGAGCTATGCTGGATAGATCCGTTGGAAGCTTACCTCAAGCATGGAACATTTCCGAACCAGAAAGCTGAGGCGCAGAAACTAAGGCTCACCGCAGCCGAATACTCTATCATCAATAATCAATTGTATCGGAAGTCATTCTCAGGTCCATACCTGAAGTGTTTAAGTTCCACTGAGGCCTTCGTGATTCTGAAGCAAATCCATGAAGGGGACTGTGGTAACCATTCCAGTAGCAGATCCTTAACACATAAGGTCCTCACTCAAGGTTATTTCTGGCCATACTTAGCTCGGAATGCTGAAGAGTATGCTCGGAGATACGACAAATGCCAGTGACATGGTCTAATGAAACACTAGCCTGCAGAAGACTTGCACGCAAAGGCGAATCCATGGCCATTCGCACAATGGGGGATTGATATGGTTGGACCATTACCCAAAACTATGGAGCAAAAGGAATATGTGTTGCTAGCCACGGATTACTTCACAAAATTGGTAGAGGCAGAGGCTTATTCAAGTATGACCCACGAGCAAGTAAAAAGTTTTCTATGGAACAACATAATCTGCCGATTTGGGGTGCCAAAGGTTATCATGATAGATAATGGTCCAAACTTAGATAACAGAAGCACAAGAAAATTCTTCGCCAAGTATGGGATCAGGCAGAAGTTGGCCGCAGTTAGCCATCCGCAGGGGAATGGGTAGGCTGAAATAACTAACCGAACCATATTCAGCTGCCTAAAGAAAAAGTTGGAGAAGCTCAAATCAAAGTGGTATGAGAATCTACCTCAGGTACTTTGGGTATATCGAACCACCCCACAAAGGCCGACGAGTGAAAGCCCCTTTGCCATGGCCTATGGGTCTGAAGCTGTTATCCCCACGGAGTCAGCAGTTCTTACTCTTCGGACCCATTTGGTGCTCGAAGGGAACAATGATCAGCAGCTCGAGCACAGCCTCGATCTCTTGGAAGAAAAGAGGGATGTTGCAGTAATTAGGCTCACTTCATACCAGCAACAGCTGCGCAACAGTTATAATAAGCGAGTCAGGTTCAGAAGTTTTGTGGAAGGTGATTGGATGTTGAAGTAAGAGACAGCCCATGTTAAAAAGTTACAACCCAATTGGACTGGACCTTACAGAGTCACAGAAGTGGTAGGGAAATGAGCTTACCGGTTGACTGAAGTTGATCGGCGTCCAATTGCACGTCCATGGAATGCAATACACCTAAAAAGGTACTATCATTAGACAATATAGTGTATTTACTTTTCTTTTACAAACAGTATATATATGTTTTTTTTCTACAAACATGGTTGTTTATATGCCCACACAATAAAAGTTTCTTAATCAATACACGTCGTTACTCATTTTACTTTAGTGATATGGGATATTACTTGTTGCTACTTTCTTTTTTGTCATAGAGGGCAATACATATACCCTACTACTGATATTACGACAAAAAAAAGATATTATCATATTGCGTCAAAAGAAAGATATTACCACAAACAAAACTAAGCTAACAAAACTAAGCTATATTTTTCATTTTTACATAAGGATGTACTTTAGAATGAATGTATATTGCAACGAGTGCCCATTGGACATTCAGGCATTACTTAAACTATAGGCCCAAAGGCTCTTTACAATATTCTCTCTCATTTTTGGACACAAAGCGCAAATGTATATGGCTCAGAACACATATCGTATTGTTATCCCACATCGATAAAAAATATCTTTATGTATTCCTTTATATAGGGAAATATTAAAGCATTTAAGTGCATTGCAAAGAGGGCCCGCTGGTAACAGTAACACCCAGCCCAAATTGTGTCCAAAGCCTTAGTATCAGTGGGCATTCTTTGCAATAATTCTTTTTAAAAACCCACCTTTCTGGCCCATATTATAAATTATATTCTTTGTCCCATATCGAATAGAAGTACAAGAGGTGTATAGTTAATATTTAGGTGGCACACCACATTTGGTTGCCATGAAGAAAGTCTCTGTGGAAGATAGTCTCCCAAAAAGATGTATGGGAGACTTTTCAGTCACAGTTACTCTCTTTCTTGGCCACATACCATTTTTGGATCTTCGGCCTGTCTAACATACTTGGTAACTTTTCCAACATATCACTTCGGACCTCAAGAGTCCAGCACAATACAGTTCCTCTCAGGCTCATAGCCGAGGAACATATCGCTTTGGACCTCAAGAGTCCGGCACAATACAGTTCCTTTCAGGTAATAGCCGAGGAACATGTCGCTTCGGACCTCAAGAGTCCGACACAATATAGTTCCTCTCAAGTTCATAGTTGAGGAACATATCGCTTCGGACCTCAAGAGTCCGGTACAATACAGTTCCTTTCATTCTCTCAGCCGAGGAGCTAGACGCCTCGTACCTCAAGAGTCTGGCACAGTACAACTTCTCTCAAGCTCGTAGCTGAGGAGTGTACCACCTCGGACGATTCAAGTCTGAGGTTACATCAATATGATTTGAGCCTAGGTGGGGGCAAAAATTATATGTGGCTGTCATACCTACAAGCCCTTATTGTTGGCCCAATAACGAATTACCCTTGAAATTTTTTATCCCACATCGAAAGCAAATAGAAAACATAAGTGCAATATATGGTACAATCTCACATTTATTGTTCGCCAAGAAAGGTGCCCCTTGATAAATAGATCTTCAAGCGAAAGTCCGAAATCAACATATCAAGGGACCCTCTTTCTTGAGCCAATTCTTTTCAAAATCTTCAGATCAAAATGATACGAATATTGCATTGAAAGGTTGGTATTCTAAAAATCCTCAACACATTCCCCCAAGACAAGAAATTTCACGCCTCAGACACAAGGAATCTGAGTGTAAGGAACTGGGACACAACCCAAATGAATTAGCAAAAACCTAAGTAGAGGTTGCTGTATTCTTTGACGTTTTATCTCCAGAATCAATAAGTCTGACTAAGACAATTACTAAGTCAAGTAAATAACTTATCCCAGATTGAAATAATACAAGGAAAATAAGTATTGATATATCTACTCCATACGAATCAATGGCAAGAAAGGTTCCTTTGACGGTTAAATCGCTAGATGGGGAAACCATCCTCGGATATTAATCAAACTGTTAAAGGGATTCCCTTTTTATCATCCTTCTTGTTTTTGCTTCGGACCACAAGGAGTACGAAGCCCTCAGGCAATGAGTCTTCCTCAAGGATAGGGAAACATTACAACTTAGTGATAATGTGAAACTCAGAAGCACTCACAGACATGCAAATCACCTCAAAATAAATTTTATCATTACAGCCCCAGAAGTAAAAATATATTGTTTCAACATTCATCAGTTCAAAATAAGAAATTACACAACCTTACTTCCTTTTTTGATCAAAAGGAGCAGAGTCGAAAGCATCAACCACATTCAGGTTGGAAGCAGTTTCTGAAGGGAGTAAATGCCTTGGAGCTAGTGGAAGAGAAGAACTTGGAGCTGGATGGTCCTTTTGATGAGACTTCACCATCTCGGCAAATAACACTTTAGCTTCTTAGGCTGGTAGACCCTCAGCTTAAGGAAAAGACACTTCCATGTCAGCATCAAAGGCGTCTGGATCCTTCGTTTTGTCACCAGAGCCTTGGTTGAAGCCGAACCTAAAGGCCTTCGCACTGGATAGGCGCACCAAAGTGGTGTAACGTCATTTTCCAACAGTGACGCAGGTGCCGATTGTGTCTTTCAAATGCTAGACCTCAGCCTCCAACGCCTCCACCTTAGTTTCAGAAATGGCCAGGCGGTTCTTGTAGATATCCCTTGCTTCAGAGGCAATCTTTGCATTCAGAGCAAAACTTGAAGCCTTCTTTTCAGCATTGCCAAGGTTTCTTTCCAGTTTCTTGATAGAAAGAGACTGAGCCTCAATAGTAGCGCACAGCGCTATGGTATGGTACAAGCTCTACATAGTTAACAATAACAATGGCAGTGTGAATGGAGTGAAAAGAAATCTGAAGAATTAACAGTGAAGGGAAAAGAATAAACCTTCACAGCGTGAACTAGGACAGATGGTAGTAGCTGGTCAAACCCCATGTTCCCAATGATCTCTTCATCCTTGGGTAGCCACATCCCTTGGGCTACCGCCAAAGCAGTAGAGGGGTCAGTGACTATTGAATCCCCAGAATGGAAAATTGACTTGTCAGCCCTTGAGAAGACAAGTCTCCAAGGTGCTCCAGATTCGGCTTAGACATAAGCCCGAACCTCTTCTTCTGGGTCAGTTTCCCCAACTTTCTTCCCCCTACTCTTGGAGACATTTTTGCCCTTGCTGGTGGAAGGAGGATTCGGCCTTGACTTCTTTAGAGGAGGCTCATCAACCTCATATTCATGCTTAATAGATCTGATGACTGCCAAAGGCCGCGCTTCAGTAACTTTCTTCTTTAGAGCTTCAACTCTCTATTTTTCTTCCTTAGTCAATGGGAAGCTGTCGAAGGATGGAAGTGCCAAATCCATAAGGTCTACAGCCGCGGCACTGGAAGCGATTTCTTAGAGGTTGGACGAAGTAAGCAACTCCTCAATAGAGGGGGTTTTGCTCTAGACTTGTCCCTCTAGAAAGAAGAACTGTTCTTAGCTACAGAGGAGGGGAAGGTCACTGAAAAAACACCAAAAAACTCTTAAGTATGACGAAAAATTAAGACTTGACATGGGAAGTAGCCAGAGCACTTGGTATAAAGGGAGGGTAAGCATTCTATACCTAACTTCCCAAACTTGCGAGGGATTGGGAGTGCGTTCGATTGAGGCACAAACTATTTCCATTTAACTACAATCATCATCTCTTTCCATTTCTTCTCGGAGGAAGGAAGGTCCTTGCATATCCTTTGCTGAAGGTTAGAGGTGAAATAAAAACGAACAGGCTCGGTTCCATGCCTGGAGATGGTGTAAGTAATTAATAGATCGGCGAGAGTCAAATCAAGACTCTCAAGCCTTCGGTGAACCAAGAGTGCCGAGCTTATCAGAAAAAGTTAGGGTTTACTTGAAGGGGGGCCAGACCTAACTTATTGAAGACCAAATGGTAGAAGGGGTGAAGAAGAAATCGAAGGGCGTTAAGATGCCCAACTGAGAGAAGTAACTCATTCTCTCCGACGCCCTCGCCTGAACTGAAGTCAGCCATCCACAGGTATTCAACAATTTCTACTCCTTCAGAGATTTCAAATTCCTCCATTATCGAATTAATGGTGAACTTGATACGTCGAACAGACAAAATCGTCTCTTTCTCTTCCTTAGTAAAGATGTCATTCGACCCAGAGGTGGAGGTCTCATCCTGAATTAAGAAATCATTTAATTGATTGGCCGAATCATTCACAGGGTTAAGAGGGTTAGAAACCCTAGGGGGAGGAACCCTAATGAGAGTATGGGAAGACGAAGGCGTGGATTTAGAATCTATAATTTCTACGCGGTCATGAGTAGTTGAAGTGCTCATGATGCAAGATCGGAAAAAAGATGAGGAACTGACTTGGTGATATGACGAGGTGAAGAACGCAGTGAACGAAATAAGTGCAGTGAAGGCAAAAAAAATCTTGAGGAAGCTCGTGAGTCAGAATAACAATAAACACTCCTTGAACCGTACTTGCAAAAGTGGCAACCGTGCAAATTCAGTTTCCTTTTAATTAAGAGTCGTAGTCCAATTAAAGAGGGAATTGGGGACAAAGTGTGGAGGGAAAAATCCCTCTCCAATGAAGGTCATCCACGTGGCTATAATTGAAGCTTTGTTTTTATTTTTTTTAATGGGTTGTAATAATCCAGCCCTGCTCAGGCCCGATAAAGACATCAACAGTCCAAGGTCGCTAATGTTGAACTTCCAGCCCATTGACTGAGTCATCTGGACCAAGCTACATTCAGCCCAACTTCATTTAAAGACGGGTTAGTCCTGCCTGACAAAGGATTCAACAAAGAAGGCAAGTTCTGTGTAAGGAAAGTTTGGCATGGAAAGAATTGTAAAAAGAAAAAAATTCTAATTGTAAAGAATGCTGTGTATGGAATGAATTGGAGGGCAAGTAAAGCGAGTCATACCATAATTCCACCACATTGTTTCATATAAATAGAGGATTAGACCCCAATAAAAGGATCGAGCAATATATGTTTTTCTTTAAGTATTATAATTGCTTATTTTGAGTGAGTTGTATTTTTCTTTTTATTTCTTTTAATGGAGGGAAATTTTACAGCTACAATGATCTTGTGCCTTCACATGGGTGAGGCTGGTCTCAAATTTTCAATTGACCGTCCCTGAGAAGCATTCCAAATTTCTTAAAGTCGGATCGATGGACCCTGTTTTTGTTCCCTAGGTAGTTAGGATTAAGTATACCTTGCTTGCACATAGACATAGTGTTCACTTTGTATAATATAACTATATATATATTTTAGGACACTGGGATACTTACTTCTGTGTTTTTTTTTGGTAAAAATTATTTTGATAATTTTAATATTTGGTTTAATATGATCATGTGCTTCACATGTGATGAGCATTCACTAATGTTCTTAAAGCTAGCTAGATTGGTGGATCCCACCCGATTTTGTTCCTGATTTTTTTTTTTTTTTTTTTGATAAACTATGTGAACCTTTGGTATGTATACGCTGATTTTTTAAGATAATTTTGTAGGAAAAAAATCATTCAGCCTTTTTTCTTTCTTTTAATAATTTCAATATTAGTATTAGGATAAATACATAATTAAACCTTACAAGCACCTCCTTTGTTGATTTAAAGACCTACCCTTAAGTTTCCGTGGGACAAACGAGTAAATGTGTTTTCAGCCAATAAAATTAAAAAATATATATATATTATATTTTAAATATTAAACAAGAGGACAAAATGATAATTGTCTAGTTAGCACTGTGAATTAATATTTTTTCTAAATTTTGGAGTGCTAGACTTCGACTCTTTGTATCTACTAATTTAAGATCTGACACTTCTTGTCTTGAAGAAAAAAAAAAAAAAAAGCTGTGACAATTAGAAGTGAGTGAGTGTTCATTCTCTGTTTGATTCATTATAGTAAAAGTTCTATTCGAGGAATGTAGCCCTAGATAATTGGGTGAACGACGTAAGTATTGTGTGTTGTGCTCTCTATTGATATATGATTGTATCTCCATGTATGCTTGTCTGTGATTTTGTGATAATATGTTTCCGTTGTACTTAAATGAAGAGAAATTTAGTTCTAACAACTGGTATAAAAGTTAGTTGTAGGGAACTAATATTGCTAACAAAAACCTTAACAAATTTTGGCAAGTGAAGTTTCTTTTTGTTAAACAGTTTTTCGTGTACACTCATAGAGAGCAACAGTAAAACGCAGTTGCCAAAAAAGATTATGCAGGTTGAAGTGGATGCTTGGTCTGTTCGCGGTAAAATCACATGCATGGAGAAGAAGGAAATTCATGACCTTTGTTTGATAATAAGAATAAAAGAGAGGAAAGAATTATAGTTGAAAATGAGAGAAAATATAATAAATACTAAACAAAAGAGAACCTTAACATTACTATTGCAACGTTTACAGACCCCCATAAGTCATAACAAAGACGAAAATTCAATTAACTCACTCAAGGGCATCTAATTAATACATATTCGTAGACAATATAAATCTTGAACTTTCCTCCTTTTCTTCTATTAGTACAGGATACGATCACTTTTTTGGCCAAAAACGCTGTGGCCATAGCTGGACTCAATCATATCCAAAAGCAGAGGAAATTGTGATGACATGAACAAGGTCACAGGTATACAAGAAAATACAATCACAGGAACAAGAATCCATGCTTTGTTATGTCCAAATTCAAGGTACAGTGTGGCACCAAAAGCTATCATCGTAGATATTATGGACGAAAATAGGGTTATGAGACCGTCAATTAATCTCTTCGGCAAGGCGTGGAGAAAATCAACCTCTACATTGCGTGAAGTGAGGATAGACGAGAATATTAACAGAGAAGAAGTAGATGAATAAAGAGCAAGTGCATCAGATATAATAAATATTGGGAAGGCTTTATCTTTAGAAAGTTTTGGAAGGCCATTGTTATCATTACTTCCACCAGGTACGGTAATGTCAGCTGCAAAAACTATCGTAACAACAAGAGCTGCAACAATTGTACATGAGTTGGCTGTGCAAGTGTATTTGCTCCAATTTTCCACTTGTTTTTATACGTCCAAGAAGATTTTTCTACTTCCTGTATTAAGTATGACGAATTACCATTTAGAAATCAAGTTTTATAAATTTTACAATTTTGATAGTTCAATATATAGAATTAATGATGATGCCATTCAAAATATATAGAATGATGTAAATCGACGAAGGAATATATTTGTCTACAGACGATAAATAAATAAATTTTTTTTTTCTAGTTTTTAGCAAATCTAAAATTAAATTTCTCTATGATCTAAAGAGTACAAATCTTTCCTAGTAATTTAAATATATATATAAAGAAATAAAAAGAATTCAAAGGTTTGGCTTAAAAGAATTCCTAAACAGAAAATATAAACATAATTTTGTGTAGATGAGGCCTGAATAACGAGACTTGTGCCTTCTTTTAAATTAATGTTTAGGTTATTGTTAATTGCTAAACAAAAGTCCATTGTTTAGTTCTTTATTTATTTTTCAAAAGAAAATTAAGTTGGACAAAAAAGAAAAGAAAAAAATTACCTTAAACCACTGCCATTCACGTTGCAACTGTAGGGTTGCACCAGCTGCATCACCTCTAAGATTGAGTTCTTGTTCACTGTTCAAACATGATACCAAATCTAATCCGCTATTTCCAGTTAAATCTTGTGATGACAAATTAATTTGTCCAATAAATTCATCATGAAATTGATAAATAAGGTTGAATACGTTTTTGTGACGGTTTGCAATTGCAACATGGAACACGTTCTGGTTCATCTCGTTTTTAACATAAATTGCTTCTGGAAATACAGTTGGAATCTCTTCCACAACTTCAGAAATACCAAAAGTCGTTGCGACAAGTATCGATGGTCCAATTATCCCGTTAGCTTTTGGAAAATCTAATTTTGCAGCTTCGACACAAACTTGTTTCACAAACTGAATTGCTTGATCATGCATCCATTTCGTGTCTCTGATGTGCTTGACATGCGGTACTGCTTCAATTCAAGTGAACTCATTTATAAGAATGTAATGAATGCTATAAACAAAGAGTGAGTTAGATATCATCAAATTATATTTTAAGATAGCCATCTCAAAAATTTATCATATTTACGTAAGTGTAAATTTTAACCATTTAATATTATAATTAAAATTCAAGTGTGCAAATGAAATGATCAACTATCATTTACAAGAGACACATTCACATCCTTACTTTGTCTTTACGGAAGCCTCCACCTTATACTTGGAAGGTGAAAGAAGTATTCACACACCCACTTTGTCTGTACATAAACTTTCATTTTCTACTTTAAAATGTTAGAAAGTACTCAAACACCCACTTTGTCATTATAAAGATTTGAACTTTCAAACTTTAAGTACCACTAAATTACAATCATTAAGCATCAACTAACATGGCGAAATATAAAATGATAATCCATTCAATTAACATGGTCCACCTAATAAGATAAAGTTAGGAGAGAAGGCATATATACTATAAATGTTTGTGATGTATGTCATAAAAATGTTTTCTTCATTGATCTAAAATGACTATTATTTAAGCATTCTATACCTAACATTTCGGTGGCTTTCCAAAGCATGTTACGCAAGCTGTGCTTCACTGCATGTACACCGTAATGGAAAATTTGTCAAAATTAAATAGGGAGTACCACTTAAGCAAACTTATAGTTTCTATTAAGAGTAAAGTTGTTCAAATCAAAAGTGCTTACATACTTATGTATTTTCCTATTCTCAAATATCAAATAAAAATTTACTCAAATAAAAAAGAGTACAAATTTATTGTTCTGTTCTTTTCTTTATAAATTTAAAATAAATTCTGTTTATCAACAAAGGGTGTTAATGCAACCTGTAACTCCATCCTTTAATTTTAGATGTTGTGCCAACAAAATATGAGTTGTGAACCTTGGACTTCAGAGAAAAAAGACTGCCTTTATGTTTTTTCAAGTTTGGGTGTGAGTACTCTGACTTTCTAGAGTTTGGTCTATTTACTATAATACTATTGTCCATGGTATCCCTATTTTAGGCTATTACCAAACTAGAACTTCTTAAAGGTTCCCTGAAAGCTCTCAACCATGATGCTTTTAGTGACTTTTCAGGTATATGGTGAAACAAGCAAAAGCTAAACTGCATGCATGTCAAAGCCAGCTGGATATAAAGCCTAGCTACTCACACCTAAGACAACATGATACTCTCATCTACTCAAGCCTTAGTAAAATTAAAGAACATATGATGCAGCAACAGGGTAGAGTGAATTGGTATCGGACATGTATCCAGTCTTGATACGCTTAGGATACACCCGGACACGTGTTTGATACTCCAGATAAGTATCCGGTTTTTTAAAAATAAAATTTTAATTTTTGGATATGGCTTGGATATGTAAGGATACTTTTTGGATACGGCTAGGATACACCGATGATACTGTTTAAAGTCTTTTTTTTTTTTTTTTTTTTTAAACAAATGCAAATCAGCTATTTTTTTCACTGTATTATTCAATGGTTTAAGACTTTAAGTTTAATGTGTTGTGAAATGAAATCTTGTGTTTTATTTACTTGCTTCTTTATTTATGAATATATTAATAATTGCATTTAAATTTATAATATTATGGGAAATTGATAATATATATATATATATATATATATATATATATATATATAAAGTATTGTATCCTACAGTAGCCGTATCCTTTTTTTTTTTTTTAACTTTGTGATATATTCCTGTCCGTATCGTACCCGAACTTCGTGTCCATGTCATGCATCAGACCAAACTGCCATTTACTTCCACAAAAGTATTTCGAAAAGGCTCAATAGGAAAAGAATCACACCCTAGTGAAGGGTGGATAACACCACTGATTCCGAGAGTATCAAGCTTGTATTCCTCATTCAATGGACCCCTTCCTTTGATGAGTCCTACTCTCTGCACCACACACCAAATGCCCATTGGCATAAACTTGTTGTAGGGTTCTTTTTTAACTAGGTAGTAAACAATAATATAATGGTGATATCAGGAATACAAATACGAAGGAAAACAGAGGAAATGCTCAGTGTAGGAGGAGGAGGAGAAAAAAACCAACTATCAAGATAAAGATAGTGGTAAGGCAAGTATACAATATCTTATGACAGCTTCCTTATCTAGGGTTAGTTATTCCTTCATAGGACAGTACTATTTATAGATTTGGATTCCATTGGTTATTATCCAATGGTCCCTTCTGTGTATGGTTCTTCACATGCATTACTCCCAATCTGGATTACATGAGTAATCCTGGAGATTTAGGAGTCTGAAGGGTCTAATCCTTTCCTCGAGCCTTGTCCTATATTGCCATGTCATTTTTCCCTTAATCAGGGGCATTAAATGTTGCTTGGCTGTCAGTTGGTCAAGCTTGACACAGCATTAATTATGATTTTAAGGTTTACTGTCATGACATGAATAATCCCATCATCTTGTTAATTGGGCCTTACTGAGAGCGAATGCACCTCTTAACTTCTCATCCACCAATCTAAGATCCTCCTAAGTTTTCCAATCATAGATTCCCTATAGCCGTGAAGACCCTACCTTCGTCTCGCGCTATACGCAATCCCCTGATAGCGTAACACCAGGACTCGAGGTATTCGAGAGTTGGTCTCTCGAGGCTTGATAGGCTTGGTGCGATGCTAGAATTTTAGGGTGCTCTAGGATCAGCTTCTCGATGCTTGATGGGCCTGGTGCGGTTCCAGGGCTTAGAGTGCTCAAAGTTTAATTTCTCGAGGCTTGTTGGGCCTTGAGCGATGCCGGGGTTTAGAGTGCTCGAAGTTTGATCTTTCAAGACTTGTTAGGCCTGGAGTGATGCCAGGGCTTAGAGTGCTCGAAGTTTGATCTTTCGAGGCTTGCTGGGCCTGGAGCGACCCCAGAGCTTGATAGGCCTGGAGCGATGCCAGGGCTTAGGCTGCTCCAAATTTGATCTTTCGAGACTTGCTAGGCCTAGAGCGATGCCAGGGCTTGATGGGCCTAGAGCGATGCCAGGGCTTAGGGTGCTCGAAGTTTGATCATTCGAGGCTTGCTGGGCCTGGAGCGATGCTAGGGCTTAGGGTGCTCGAAGTTTGATCTTTCGAGACTTGATGGGCCTGGAGCTATGCCAGGACTTAGGGTGCTCGAAGTCTGATCCTTCGAGACTTTTGATTTTTCAAATTACCACGTAGGATTTGGCTAGGGCCATATTGACTTGTCAACATGCCACGTCAGCTTTTAATAAGTGACACCCATATTTTGCCCCTTGCACGTGCGACGATTCAGAATGAAATATTGCGCGTGCAAGACTAGGTGGCTAGGTCATTTAATGTTTCGAGGAGATTGAAAGGACGCAAGGGTGAAAGGTCGCCTCCAGTCATTAATGCACCGTCTGTTGCCTCTTCGATTTTGGGGGTTCCCAAGGTGAGGGAGTTATTTAAAAAGAGGGGGAGGGGGGGGGGGGAGAGCAGCAACAGTGTGAAGGGTCATTTATGAACAAGGAGCTAAAAGCTGCTACACTTGCCTTTGTGTCCATTATCGCCGGCGAAGAGAGCTTACAAAAACTTGAAATTTCGTTCGCATTTACTCGATTTGTGGGATTCCTATCATGGTTTGCAAGAAATAAAAACTAGCCAAAAAGGATTGTCCTCCCCCTAAAGTACCAGCAGATTCAGAATGGCGGCGAGCACCATTATTTGGGAAAACGGACCTGTTTTGGCATCGGTCCAACAAGGCTGTAGTTGCCGGCGAACCACTGGAGGTGGTGGAGTTGATGGAAGAGGAGGTTGAGATTAGCCTAGCTCCTCGCATCTACCATTTTGAGATTTGGTGTCGAGCAAGGACAATATCCATGGTCCTATGTGAATTTCAGCAGTCACATTAGCCCTGGCCATAGTTGGGAATCGTGGACTGATGCGATTCTTGCTAACCCCGCGTAAAAGGCGATTCTGGAAACGACGAGCTTATTGCCTTGCATTAGGTTGTTTCACCAAATACACATTCCTCGCAACATTGCAGGTTTATTGGAGTTCACCTCATGGTGGAGCTCGAGCTCGCACACCTTTATCACAGCATGGGGGGAATTTACACCTACTATCTAGGATATAGGCCAACTATTGGGTTTACCCTTTCAGGGTGTGAAGAATTCTGGCTATTGGGGATTCTCGCCCACTAAAGAGGCTTTAGCTCAGGATCTCGAGACAGCTCTGGATAAAACCAAAGACTTTAAGACATTGTAGTGTGCACAGGGCATCCGTTATGCTGATCGAGGCAAACGTACACGCAAAGCCACTCTCGGCGCTTTGGTGCGTTACTACTTTAGAGATTTTCCAATGTCAAAGAAAAATCTCTCGGAGGAGGGGCAAAAAGGGATTTCAGGTCCCTGGATTGATCACTCTTCTAGTCTTGCAGCTTACTTGTTGTGCTAGCTATCGAGATACATTTTGGAGGGCACCCCGGAAGATACTTGTGATACCCCTTAATTCTAGAGCCACGAGTGATCAAGTCCGAGCACAGATCTGAGGGATACCCAACAATTAATATGTAAAATGAACATGAAATACAAGGTGATTAAAAGAAATAATATAATGAGCTGGAAGAAATCTGAAATAAAAATCCTCAAACTTTAAATAATAGATTAATATCATTTAAATCCTTCAAATCCGTACAACTCGGGAATCCATCTAGTGGACCCCTAATAATCCCAAATGATAAATAAATTTACAGAATTAAAACCAAAACTAAAATAAGAAAGAACATCCTATGTAGTCGGAAGAGTGAGTAACAGTCTCTGCTCAACACGATCAAGTCTACGACTGGAACTGTCGAACACCTGAAAAATAGAAGTGGGTCAGGCCCATGAACAAGTTCTATCCTACTACAATCCAAACAGAGACTCGATACGCATGTACATCCAAACCAATTCAACAATAACTAATAGTCCGTAGATATATATATATAATCAC